CGTGTACATTGTTTTGACGTCTTCGGGGGTTATTTGCAAGATACAATAATTTATAACTTAAATAATTTAATAACGTTGATTTCAATTATTAATTGCATTTTAAATAACACACAAGTGCTGATCATTCATATTTAGAGAGAAATTATTGATTTGTGAATCTGTTATAGTCAGAAGTATAGGGGACAAGTTAAAAGTGGGAGGCAAGGTTTATTTGACCGAGCGAAGCGAGGTAGTGTGCGCCATAGGCACACCAATTACTGGTTGAGTACGGGGCTCGCCTTAAGTCTCGGGAAGGTGAGTTCTGGATTAAATTTCATGCACTCTTCTACTTTTCTTGAGAGTAATTTTCTATAATTTGGTGCATTTTTAGTGGAACAGATTAAAAATTAAGGGGCCCGCTTTTTACACCATTACAGTGAATGATTGATTACTGAGTTAGCGAATTTATTGTAAGTTCTTCTGTTACTGTCAGTAAGTTAGTCAGTTAGTTTAGTTTTGTATTTACTAATTATGTTTCGTCGAAGTATTAGAGGCACAAGAAAGTGTTAAAAGAACAAGAGAATTTGCAAGTAAGTGATTGTTATATTGGCGTGAGATTAGGCCTATCAGTGAGAGTTAATCAAGCTAACTAAATAAGTTGTAGCAAAAGGAATAAAACGCATGCGTTTTCATTAATTAAGTGGACTAGACTTTGCATTATTATTTTTATCGAATAATTCAAAACAACCAGCCCAAAAATAAAAATCGTTATTACAGTGGTATTAGAAATGGGATTAATCTGATAAAAATAAGACACAATCAAAACTGAACTTTAAGATGTTGGTTATCCTTGAAGTGAGATTGAAAATTTAATGAAAATGATGAACCAGTAGAAAGAAAATCAAGAAAAAATATAAAGAAATTAAAATAATATCAAAACGAAAGAAACCTATTTAACTTACAAGAAACTGAAAACCAGCTTCAGAAATGAAAACAATTATTCTAAGACAGATGAAAGCAATACATTTTCGCACATAAAAGTAATGAAATTATACAAAATTTAAATAGGTTAACATATTGTTACGTCTCCGTTCGCTAATTAACTTTCCGTAACTTCGTTCCGACGAAACTTTAGCGGCACAAGTCCTTACTTAATAAAACTGGTTTATTCTTTCCGAATACAACTCTACGATACAGTCAACTTCAACAATCGCGCCTAAAACAAACGCTAATCAACGAACGTCAACAATACTTCTGACTGCAGTTCAATTACTCACTATCTACACACACATTATTGCGTCACGTTGTCACCCTCTTATATATATACCAGACTACCCTATCTAGTAAATGCTAGGGCATTCATGAAAGAACAAGATAGTTCTAGAAACGTGGCGTCACACTAGTCATGTCACCTCGCTGACGCAACAATATCAATAAGTCAACTGTATTACATATGTACCAAGAACTGTATATAGATACACGACTCATGCTTCTCTCTCTAAAAGCTTCTACGATAGTTCAATGCCTGTCACGGTTAGTTTTACACACATTGAAACATCGTTTCGAGATCACCGTTTTGTCGACAGAAATAGTTGTGTTAACAATTTAAACACAATATTAATAAATCGCTTAAACTTAAATGTCTCGCTACGCAATGAATGACGTAAATGTTACATTCGTTAAAAATTCTCTTTATCTGGTGTTTCTGGCGAATATAGATTCAAATCATTAGAACCTTTTTTTTTATTTGTCCATTGAATGTGTTTCACTCTTTATTCAAGCAATAATGGGCCTAGTGACTTCGTCAAATATGTATAATTGGGACTCTATTCCACAACATTTAATTAACCAATAACAGACCTAGCGACTTCGTCAAATATATATATAATTGGGACTCTATTCCACAACCTTTAATTAACCAATAATAGGCCTAGCGACTTCGTCAAATATATATAATTGGGACTCAATTCCACAACCTTTAATTAACCAATAATAGGCCTAGAGACTTCGTCAAATATATATAATTGGGACTCAATTCCACAACCTTTAAACTGTATTATCGTTCTTTTCTTCTTCTTTTAGTTTTCTATAATGACAGAAATCGATGTTCTAGTATGATGTTTTTGTTGTGTTGTTGTTTGTCATTAATCACAAAGCTACACACTAGAGGGCGTTCTAATATGAGGCGAATGATCAAGAAGTGACGGCAAATACGTTCAAATTAATATACACTGTTAGCTACTTTTAAATGTAGCTGCCACTATCCTAAGTGTTAGATATATATATATACATACACCAATGTTTGTGTTTTACACCCAGATATCACTCACATAGTCCGTGTGTTAACCAACACACTTACACCTAAGATACTGTTTCCCAATATACTATTTGACTGCCAGTGTGATAACCAACACACTTACATTTAAAATATACTAGTTTCCCAATATCCTATTTGACTGCCAGTGTGATAACCAACACACTTACACCTAAAATATACTAGTTTCCCAATACACTATTTGACTGCCCCTGTGATAACCAA